CCTCAGGCCTGTACTGCCTTTCTTCTTTTGTAGTTTTGCAGTTTTCTTTTCTGTAATGCCTGGTTGCTGCTGGCTCGTTGCCTCCCTCTACTGGTGAACTTTTGACCAAGCCCTCAAGACTCACCTGTCCAAAGATGATTGGCCACAGGAGGTTTGGACAGCACCACCCATCCACCAGCGACTGCCAATGAAGAGGCCAGGAGGAGGAAGAAGATAATAAAAGTCAGCCCTGCCCTTCAATCAGTGCTGCTGTGCTTGGTGTGCAGTATGCCAACTTTTGGTGGTGCAGACAAATTGTTTCAGACTGTGTCTTGCTTTGTCTTATTGCTTCTGAAAGACTGTGGCTTGTGTAGCAAAGACATTTGTCTGGTTGGAGATTTCATTCTCATTGTGGAGCCACATGTTAGTTTGACCATTGTTAGTTGGGTTGCTGTATTTTGTTTGGCTTGGGATTTTCAATTTTGTTTTAAATAGCTGAGTCATTGTTCAGAACCAGAAGTGTTCTTGTTTGATTTAAATTGTATGAAGAATGCCAGCTATTGCTGTGATTTTTGTTTAGTATTTTGTAAACTCAGCCAAAATTAAATTCACATTATTATTTTTTTACACAAACTTTCGTCATGTCATTTATGTTGCCTCCAAAACGAGCCGGGAGCCCACTGTCAAACATGATGGTGGCAGCATCATTGTTTGGGCCTGATTTTCGTCAGCAGGGACAGGGAAGATGGTCAGAATTGATGGGAAGATGGATGGGGCCAAATACAGGACCAATCTGGAAGAAAACCTGTTTGAGTCTGCAAGAGACCTGAGACTGGGACGGAGATTTGTGCTGGTGAAGATTCTCAGTCATCCAGGACATGATGCATTCAAAAAGCGTTCAATACAAAAACAACTGGACTTTATTTGTAACAGAAGACGTTTCGCTCCTCATCCGAGGAGCTTTCTCAATTCAAAGAGCAGAGAGTGGGTATGTTTACATGGACATAAGTAACCGGATCAAATGGCCGGTCGGAATAAAAGTGTGTCATGTAAACACTCCGTTCGGGTTATTTTTTGTGTATTCGGCGCGATCCGTTATAATTTCTGATCAGAACGAAACGGGTGGTTTACGCCGATCCGAAACCCGATCGGTGCGCATGTAAACGCTTGATCTGTTCATTTTTATCTGATGGTGAAAAACTGACCTGACTGCGCATGTGCGACTTTGCCATTTCCGCCTGGCTAACGCTAATAATATTAGCATGTCAGGGAAGTAAAACTGGTCGGTGAGCGACACAACATTTCTACTAGAAACTTTTAAAGAGCTCAAAATGATTTCTATTACCTGTAGCTCAGTCAGGGAGTGCAATAACGTCTCCACCATCATTAAAACCTGTCGCGGGTCCATTTTGGGTGCTCAGGTTTGTTTACGTTCACCCGGAAGTAGAACTTCTTCTTCGGTGTTTTTTTTAAGGAGAGTTTACCACTCTGCGCATGTGTTACGACCTCAGGCCTGTACTGCCTTTCTTCTTTTGTAGTTTTGCAGTTTTCTTTTCTGTAATGCCTGGTTGCTGCTGGCTCGTTGCCTCCCTCTACTGGTGAACTTTTGACCAAGCCCTCAAGACTCACCTGTCCAAAGATGATTGGCCACAGGAGGTTTGGACAGCACCACCCATCCACCAGCGACTGCCAATGAAGAGGCCAGGAGGAGGAAGAAGAT